ACCTGTCCACCCCCAGGGCACCTTGAACTTCCTCTCCCGTCAGGACGTGCAGTACCTGAAACTGTCTGTCTTTCCTGCAGACGGAGGAAGGTCCCCCCATGGCGGTGGCCTCAGGGTCTGGCCCTCGGAGGCAGCAGCGGTCTGCAGTTTTGCTGAATTAAATGACAGCAGGGCCTGTGCTGTGGTCCCCGCCCGGCCCCACCTCTGCCTCAGCTCAGAGGACAGAGCGCCCCCCGCCCTCTGCTCCGGGCCCTGAGCACAGCGCCTGCTGGTAGATGCCACCCTGAGCCCCTTTCGCAGAGGGGGAAGCTGAGGCTCGGGCCTTAAGGGGATCGTGCAGGACTCTCCCTCCAGGAAGCGGAGCGTTTACAGTTGAAGCTGTGACTCCGAACCTCTGAATTTCCTATCCTCTCCCAGATCAGCTGAGGAAAGGGGTGAATGATCTGTGTTGACCCAGCAGCTTGCTGCGAGCGTGTGCATGCGTATGTGTGCGTGTGTGTGCGTGTGTGTGTGCGTGTCTGTATGTGTGTGTGCATGTGCGTGTGTGTATGTGTATGTGCGTGTATGTGTGCACGCGTGTGCATGTGTGCGCGTGTGCATGTGTGCGCGCGTGTGTATGTGTGTGCGCGTGTGTCGGGGGGAGCCGTGTCTGCGTCGCTGCTCTCGGGGCACCTGGCCTCCGGGCCGGTAGAAGGTAGAGTAACGGACGGAGGGCAGCGACAGCCCCGCGCCCCGCCTCCTAAGGGGGGTCCCCGCCTCCTAAGGGGGGTCCCCGCCTCCAGCGCAGGGAAGTCCTCTGCTGTCGGCAGGACGGCCACTGGGTGGCGCCCGTGAGCCGCAAACGCCGAGGGATCTGCCGCGAGGGGGACGCGGGTCGCAGCCGGGGAAGGTGGGGACCATGCGCACTGGGTTGTGGTCTCCTGTGTCCCCAGCAGCTGAGAAGGTGTCACTCTGTCAATCATGCCCTGGCTCTTTGGTTTCTATTTTATTCTTTATTTTAAAATATATTTTTACTGATTTCAGGGAGGAAGGGAAGGGAGAGATAGAAACATCCATGATGAGAGAGAATCACGGATCGGCTGCCTCCGCACGCCCCACACGGGGAATGGAGCCCGCAGCCCGGGCCTGTGCCCCGACCGGGATCGAACCCTGGCCTCCTGGTTCATAGGTCGACGCTCAGCCCCTGACGTGAGTGAATTGCTGTGTGACCTTGAACAGTGTGCTGCCCTCTCTGGGCTCCATGTCCTCATACCAGTTAGGGTTCTTGGGTAGAAATGACAGGACTGATTCCAACTGAGCTCAGCTCAGCGAAGAGGGAGCGCTGGGCAGAGCAAGACACCGTGGGGCTCACACCCCGGCCCCGGGTAAGGGCACCTCCAGCGCCGGGCGCTCCTCACACGGGCACCACAGGCCTTGCTGACGGGCCCGGCTGTCACTGCTCCAGGCATGGTCTTCAGCTGCCCCTGCCCCTGCGCTCCTTCCCACGGTCCCTGTCCCGGGCGGGGTCACATGGCCACGACCCCTCCGAGAAAGGGTGGGGGTGTCTGCCCCTCCTATCCCCACGGTGCTGAAAGGGGCAGCCCCGGCCGGGGAGGTTTGGGGGCAGCCGGTGGCCAACGGTGACTAATGTTGCTACCCCCCTCCTCCTCCGTGTGGCCGGCGGTCGGATCTGCCCGAGCTCTTGTACCCTGAGCAGTGACCACAGAACCACCATCTCCAGCGTTCACCGGGCACCTCCTGCCGGGCGTCAGTGGAAGCACCTGTGTTCCTGACCCCGTGACCCTCCCAACGGCTCTGCAAGGCAGTCCTCTCTCAGGTGCAGGACCTGAGGCATCAGGAGTGTAAATGCCGCCCACCTGGCGTGGCTCAGGGGCTGGGCATCGACCTACGAGCCAGGAGGTCAGGGTTTGATTCCCGGTCAGGGCACAGGCCCGGGTTGCGGGCTCCATCCCCAGTGTGGGGCGTGCAGGAGGGGGCCAGTCCCTCTCATCATTGATGTTTCTCTCTCTCTCTTTCTCTCTCTCTACTTTCCTTTCCCTCTGAAATCAATAAAAAAATATATTTTTAAAAGAGTGTAAACGCTTTGCTGAGGTGGCCCCGCCGGGAGGAGGTGGGCGGGGCTGGCCCCAGGCAGCTGCTCTCCGATCAGCTCTCTCGGCCGGTCTGCTCAGGCGCCTGGGCAGCTCTCCCTCCCTAAGAAACAGGCCAGACGACAACCACGCCTCCGCTTGGAGTTTCCCTGGTTTCCAAGCCTCTCTCTCTCTGCGGCTGGATGACAAAACCAGGTCTGTCTGCGTCTTCCTGGGAAGACTTGTTACTGCGCCGAGTAGAAGGGAAGGGCCTGTTACAGAACCACCGCGTCGGGAGCAGGCGCGGGATCTACTTCTCCCTGAGACGTTAAATCCAAAAGCCCAGAGGCCGGGAGAGGGCGAATTCCTTTTCCCCAAACCCGCTCCCTGATCCCGCGTTTTCTGTCTCTGCTGGGACCCGAGGTGGGAAGCAGGTGTCATTGCGGGGAACGACCACCAGGGGGCAGGCCGCGCCGCCTCCAGGCCTCGCAAGTGTTGCCAGAGCCCCCACCCTCCATCTGCCTTTGCCAGGCTGTTTGCAAAGGGTCAAGTGCAGCTGCAGGGACTGGAGTTGTATTGGATCTGCTGCTCGTTTTCCGTCCGGGGCGCCTGTCTGGCCCCCGAGGAAGTGCCCGGCCCTGCCGAGCAGGGGCCACTTCGTTAGGGAGCCCCCCTCAGAGCGGGTCCCCTGGCCCCTCCCCACTGGCCTTCCTGCTCCTCACCGCGGCCGGCCCAGGGCATTGGGGTGCCTGGAGGCAGCTGGCCACCACCCTTGCTTCATTCTCCTGAGCCCCCCGGTTCTAGGGCCCAGCACATGGGCCGCTGCAATGGGCCATTTCTGACATCAGGAGGTGCTGCAAGGGACCCTGGGCCTTTAGCGAAAAGCAGGGCTTTCATAAAGCCACCCCAGCCTCCCCCGCCACCTGCCCCTGGGGGTGGGCAGCTCCCGCTCCTGTCACAGTGTCCCCCGGCTCCAGATCCCAGCTCCCAGCAGCCCCGGGAGCGGATGTGCAGAGCTGAGCGCCCCGGGGAGTGCGTCCCCAAATCCAACTCCAGCAGCGCCAGGCGCTCCAGCACCTGCTGCCCGTGCAGACCGCTGCCCGGAAACCTCTGCGGACAGCGAGCCTGTCGGGACGGCCAAGCTACACCGTCGCATCTTCCTCCCTCCCTTCCTTTCCATCCTGTTTTATTCCTTCTCTTCTGCCCCCGCCGTCCCTTCCCCTGCCTGGTCTCTGTTACTTCCACATCCAGGAACATTTTAATTTTGGAAAGAAACGCTGTGTAAGCTATAAAAAGTGAGGTGACATGTGGAAGCGTGGGGTGTGGGAGGGAAGGAGCGGAGGGAGGAGTCGCTCTGAGGAGGATTCTGGGGAGAGAGCAACTAGGCCACAGTCCGTGGTCCTGGGACTGGGCGGCGGCCCATGGGGTCCTCACGGGAGTGCGGGAGGGAGGCCTGGCCCGGTGGTGTCGGCGGGGTGTTCATGGAGAGAAGGGGGTGCTGGTTACCCTGGGAGTTAGTCCAGCAGCAGCCAGTCACATGTGGGAAGCCTGTGTGTGCGTGTGTGTGCACGTGTGTGTGCACGTGTGCGTGGGGGGGTGTTGGGGGGATGGAGGAGGATGGAGGGGCTGCCTCTGCAGCCAGGCTCCGCCCCGCCCCGCCCGCTGGACCCAGGGCCACTGTCTCCAGGCCCTGCCCCTCCGGCCGGTGAGCTGCCCCCTCGGTGTGGCTGTGCTTGTTATGTAACTAACACGTTACGAAAGACAATGGGTGAGGAGCCTAAAGACAGCTGTTTCCAGAAAACGGAGTCCAAGTCTTCGGAAAGGCTCTCGGCGAAGGGACGTCACCAGAAATAGCAGGATCGCATGAGGTGTGGGCGAGGCGACGGCGGAGGAGCGAGGAGATGGTGCGAATCTAGACATGTGGGCACGCAGGCGATCTCACCTGGGGTTCCCACTTCTTCTAGGGCAGCGGTTCTCCACCTTCCTGACGCCGCGGCCCTTTAATACGGCTCCTCATGCTGTGCCCCCCGACCATAAAACTATTCTCGTTGCTACTTCATCACTGCAATGTTGCTACTGTGATGAACCGTCGTGTAAATATCTGCTATGCAGGATGTATTTTCATTGTTCGTGACCCACAGGTTGAGAACCGCTGAATCGTGTTTGTCTTTAACTTCTCCTGGTCTATTGTCGCATAACAGTGCACGGCTTCACATGCACTATTAATAACGGACAGCACCCAATTCCTGCTTTCTCTCGCCTTATCCGTTTTTGCTGTCAGAATCTCTTACATTTTGTTTCTATATATGTGATAAAGTCATGATTTATAGTTATTTTAAATTTAATCAGCCAACTTTCATTTAAAAACATTTTTTTAAAGAATAAGTTTTAGTTTCCACATGTTACTGTTTTTAGAGATTCACATTTTATCATTTCTGGCACTTTTTGTAGTTTTATTTTTTTCCATTTAGACTTTTTGTCTGAATGTAATAGTTAATGATGCTTCCCATTGTGTCATATCAAGAGGGAGGCCGAGTTGATAACTTGGTGAGGTGACCCCCCCCCCCAATTTTATACATTATTAAAATGCACTTGGAGTTTGTTAACGTTCTGTTCCCCAAGTAACTTGCACCCAATGGCTGTAGCACCCATGGGTGGTTCTTGCCTGAATTAAATTGTTCTGGCAGTGATTTCACAAAGGTGGTTTTGTAATAGTATCATGAATTACGTATTTTTTCACCCAACATTCTTCTGAGAAAGAAACTTTCCTTTCTCCCTCCCTTCTCTCTTTCCTTGTTGATTCCTAGAGACGTTTTGTTGTTCAAAGTGTTCAAATCCATTGTAAGCAGGTTGTGTTGATACTTAAATTCCTCCAAGTTGGGGCCACAGGAGCCCCCAAGTCCCCACCAGCCTTCATGCACCTCCTTGCGTCTGTCCAATAACTCACCCTGTGCCTCTCTCACCCAAACCTTCATCGATTCTTTCTCCAAAGAGACCAGGCCCTTTTACTGGGAAATGACCTTAGGAACCGAGTCACCTACTTCTCTAGCACCCGGAGAAGCCCTCCTACTACGCGCAGTCCCACCTGTGCACGGGCCTCCTCCGCCTCCGGGTTCCGCTACCCGAGGAGCGGCCGAGCGGGCCTTTGTGAATGTCGCCTTTGTCAGAAGGCTGTCATCTCCTGGGGTCGGCAATTCACTCAGGAGCATTGGGGGAGGGGCCGGGGCCGGTAAATTATAGGCTTTTCATCATTCTGCGTGTGTTTATGCTCATTCCACACCCCATTTCAAAAGTGCCCGGGTGCCCTAAACTGTGTAAACTAGGGATTGTAAGATCACATGACGCACACGAAGCTACGGCCGGAAAGAGAAACAGCAGCGAGACGGGTCCTGTTCGCTTTGTCCCACTGCAGGGCACCTGCGTCACCCCATCAGGGTCATAGCAGCCCCGGACAGGGGCGGCCGGCATAGGCCCCCCCTCCCCCCAAGCACTTCGAGGAGTAAAGAGAGGCGGGGCCCGATCTCATTTCCTAACTCCGGGCCCAGAGCTGCGTTTCCGCCGCAGGGATCCGGGTGCGAGAGACCCAGGGAAGCAGGGTGGCCCGGTGACCTTGGTTCTGACCTGCCTAAACTGTGTAAACTAGGGATTGTAAGATCACATGATGCACACGAAGCTACGGCCGGAAAGAGAAACGCTTTGTCCCACTGCAGGGCACCTGCATCACCCCATTAGGGTCATAGCAGCCCCGGACGGGGGCGGCTGGCATAGGCCCTCCGCCCCCCCCCGCCCCCCCCAAGCCCTTCCACTTCGAGGAGTAAAGAGAGGCGGGGCCCGATCTCATTTCCTAACTCCGGGCCCAGAGCTGCGTTTCCGCCGCAGGGATCCGGGTGCGAGAGACCCAGGGAAGCAGGGTGGCCCGGTGACCTTGGTTCTGACCTGTCTGAGGCCCAAGCCCCCTCTGTTTGCCGGCTCCGGGCGCCCCAGCCAGAGCTGACCCCCTCCAGGCCTCTGCCTCACCCCTCCGGGCCTCCGAGCCTCCCCTCCCCATTCCAGGCCTTTACCTTGAAAACCAGCCGACGGGGTCCCTCGGGGCTAACTCTCCGCCAAGCGGGACCGCTGAGTGTCCACGTCCGGGTTCCGTTTTGTTACACGAAGTGCTGAGGCCCCGGGTACCCGCGGGCCGGCACGAAGGGCTGGGTTCACTAGACCTTACGTGCCATAGGGTGGGGCTGACAGGTGACTCGAGTGATGTCTCTATGGAGAAACCATATCTTCTCCTTTGAACTGCCATAGTCAGTCATTACAGAACCTCTCTCTCTCTCAGATTTATTTTCTAAATCGGACGACTGCCCCCGGGTTATCTGCTTACAGGCAGTGTGTTCTCTGCTAGGACCCGAGGCTTGCACACCAGGTAAGAGCATTGCAGTCGCTTCGCCGTCTGACGGACCTGGGTTGCATTCCTGGCTCTGGGCTGTACAACTCAACCTGTTTTTCTTGACTAAGGAGCCTCCCAGGGCAGGAGAGGGCACTGGAGCCTGGGAAGGGCCATGTTCCCATTCGCCGCACAGGTATGTTAAGGCGAAGGCCATCGTTATAGGGACTGAGGTTTGTTCTCGAGAAAATAAGGACCCTTCTAACAACAGGGCTGGCTGTACCCGGAGTGTGCTGGGCGCCTGGGGTGGTGGTGTCCCGGCTCCGATGGGTTCCTGGGCCTGGAATGTTGGGACGTGTCCTCTCCCCGAGGACGCCAGTCCCCCGGTCAGCACAGAGGTGACTTCTCCCGGGAAACCTGCCACGTGTGCTGCTCTACGGAGAAACCATCTCTTCTCCTCTGAACGCCCATCGTCAGTCATCACAGAACCTCTCTCTCTCTCAGATTTATTTTCTAAATCGGACGACTGCCCCCGGGTTATCTGCTTACAGGCAGTGTGTTCTCTGCTAGGACCCGAGGCTTGCACACCAGGTAAGAGCATTGCAGTCGCTTCGCCGTCTGACGGACCTGGGTTGCATTCCTGGCTCTGGGCTGTGGACTCTGAGTATGATGTTACTTTGTGCCTCAGCTACTTCTGGGGTGTGATGGACTGAATATTTGTGTCCCCCCAAAAACGCACATGTTGATAATATTAGGAGGCGGGGCCCTTTGGGAGGGAATTACATGTCGATGAGGCCATGAGGGTGGGGCCCCCACAATGGGGTTAGTGCCCTTATCCGAAGAGAACGGGCAGTTAGCTCCCCTTCTCTCCCCAGGGGAGGACACAGCCCGAGGGGCCACCTGCAAGCCAGGCCATGGATTCTCACCAGGAACTGAATCAGCTGGCACCGTGAGCTTGGACCCTCCGGCTTCCCGAACTGTGAGAAACAAATTTCTGTTGCTAAAGCCACCAGATCAGTGGTGCTTTGTTACCGCAGCGGAACTGACTGATACGGGGATGATGAGAGTTCTGCTTCCCTGGGGCCGTTGGGCGGGCGGGTGGCAGAAAGATGCTCATGAAAAGGTAGAGGGTGGAAGGGCACCGAGCAGAGGCCCAGGGCACACGGGTCGTCCCCGAGGGTGGTCATCCTCTTAAAGCACAGACACAGCTTATAACTGTCTCCACCCACATACACCTGTCAGTGTGCCGGCTCTCAGCAGACACTCCGCAGCCGTTTATGATCAAAGGGCGAATGACCAACTGATGCTGAAGGCGAGAAGCGTGCTCTGCGCTCTTCAACACAGCAGGCGTGTCCTCTCTGTGACAGGCTTCCCTTCTCCATGACAGGCGTGTCCTCTCCGTGACAGGCGTGTCCTCTCCGTGCCAGGTGTGTCCTCTCCGTGACAGGCA